TACGATGACATTCGCGAACACAGACTTCGATTGGGAAGACTCCGCCTGAAATATGATTGAGTACGAGCCCATTGGCAGACTTTTCTGGAATCTTGGTCCAAGTATGTCATAAATACGGTGACCATCCGTACTTTATTTCAAAGGACAGTCCTTTATTTTAACCCCCTGTCCTATATAATTTTTTTCAAAATAAAGGACGCCTTTTGTCCTTTATTTCTTAAACTGTCCTTTAAATCAGCTCTGCATTTTTCAGAGGTAAATTTTTAAACACAGAATATGAAAAATAAAAATGTCCCTTATAAAATATAGTGAAAACCTTCGCCAGTTTGTTTCGCACCCAACTTCCCTCGCTAGGGCAGGCACCTTGTCGTTGGTGCGGGGGCTTAGCTGCATCACCAACCAGCCCTCTTCTGGTTTGAGGTAACGCGGATGTGCAGACCTCCGCGCTACCTTCTCTCTAGACTTGGGCTGCTGGAGAACAGTGACCAAGAACTGCCACCTCCTAATCCAGGGTGTTAAGCGACACCGTGCCTATTGGACGGTTTGCAGCCAGGAGGGTATAAACCGGCTGCATTTGAACGGCGCCTTTCCGACACCGGGCCGCATCGGGGAGTAACGGTGGCCTTACCGCGACAAGGGGCGCTGGCGCGGCGGACTTTTGAAGATCCCCTACGAAAATTTAGACCACTGAGCTCGCCTCGTCGAGCAGCTGGTCGTACGAACAAGATGATGACAAAACAACGCCAAGAAACAGCAGCGCGTGGGAAGGCCCAATAAGTGCTGGGCGGAAAGGCAGTTTCCTAGACCAGTTAACCGCCGAGGAGGCAGCGCTGTTCATCGAACATGCAAGGGACGATGACCAACCAGGAACCAGTGCAGATGCGCTACGTCGCATGGGCCAGAGCAAAACAGGTAGTTCTAATAACAGAAATCTAACAGGAAATCACAATTTACCTGCCGAACCAGATCGGCCGCAACACCGGTCCGGCAGTTCTCATTGCAGGTACAGAGAGACAGCAAGGTCAGACAGCAGCCACCGCACCGATGGTAGTCACCGCTCCAAGAACCGGCATCGCTCGGGTAGTCGGCGTCGCTCTACGAGTCGACACCGCTCAGAGAGCCGGCAGCGCTCCAAGAGCGCCGCTCCGAAAGCGGTCACCGGGCGGAGAAGGAGAGACTCCATAGGTCGCACAGCAGAAGCGCCTCAGCAGCGTCCGACGACTCCGGGTGGCAGAAGCAACGGAGTAGGAAGCACCGCAGGGCCAAGCCGCCTCCGATGCCGCAGCCAGGTCAACCGGGGTCCCTAGACGATCGGTTTCGCGAGGGCTTAAGCGGTTCCGGGGTTAAATGGTACCTCCGGTACCTCGGGCAAGGCAAACGCCCAGTCGAAGCCAGAGCCATGGCAGAGGTCAGGATATAGATTGAGATTGAGGGACGTGAAAGACACAAGAATGGCGACAAACCCGCACCCGCCGATAGGTGGAAGAGCGGGCCCAACAAACAGGCACACTTACCCGCACCTGCTGAAAAGCAGAAGAGCGGGCCACAGCGACAACAGCAGCACAGACCCGCGCCCGCTGAAAAGCGGAAAAGCGAGGAACCAACAGGCTCCAACAAAAGAGGTAGCAACCAGGTCACTCCACCAGAGACACCGGGCACCAAACGGCAGCGGGAGCAGCCACCCCCTCCGAACTCATGGTCTAGGAGCCTGGTCGGGCCGATCGAGCAGGGACAGGCGCAGGGGGATTCCACTCAGCAACCCAGCTATTCGGAAGCCCTCAAAGGCATTCGGGTAGCTGTGCTGCCTTGTGAGTACCCAGCTGCTGCCCTGAGCTCGGAAGACCTAACCAGACTCCAGGATGCCATTATGGAAGAGGTTTTTAAAGGATGGTCGCACCCGCTGGTGTTCTGTGGTGTGTACTTCAGATCCGGCATGCTCCTGGTAGACTGCAGGGACGAGAGAACTGCAACCTGGCTGGTGAAGAAAGCACCGGCACTTGAGGGCTGGAAGGGACCCGAGATGTGCACGAAGAGGGGGTATGACATCCCTCCAGTGCATAACATCACGGTGTTCCTGCCAAGGAGCGCCGACAAGTCGGCGGAGTTTGCGTTGGGGCTACTAAAAGCGCAGAATGAGGGCATCCACATCTCTGCGTGGAAGGTAGTGTCCAGCTCCGTAGAGGAGAACGGGCTCAGACTATTTCTGGGCATAGATGAGGAATCTTACGTCAGCATCAAGAGGGCTGGCTTCAACCTAAATTATAGGTTCAGTTTCGTCACGGTGAGGCCGTGGCGACAAAAGGCGACAGGTAGCAAGGAGTCGGAGTCGCAGGAGACCCCAATCGAGGCGGCTGCCGACTCCTCCGCTGCCCAGACGACCCAGTCAACCTCGACCTTACCGGCGGAACAGCCACCCCTCGCACAGCCACCCCTCAGTCAGCTACCCCTCACCCAGACACCAACTCCAGCAAGCACGTCCGAGCCAGCCACCACCACCAAGCCAGCGGAAGACGTGCCATCCACGCAGGAGTTGCTATCAGGCATCGACTTTAGGCGTCTTGAGCTCGATAGGAGAAGCGAGAGCGAATTACAGCTCTCCGATCTCGACGAGCCCCAACTATGACCACGCGTCACTTGGCAGTAGCCCAGGTCAACCTGCATCATGCGGTGGCTGCTTCGGCGGTCATCTCCAGCAGGTTCGCCTGGGCATTCTACTGATCCAAGAGCCGTGGAGCTACAGAGGCCAGGTTAGGGGCCTCAACCACAACAACAACAAGGTAATTTGGGACCTCTCCTGCGAGAGGCCCAGAGCATGTGTGGTGCTTAAGAAGAACATTGATTACTTTTGCATTACAGAGTTTCTAACACAGGACTTGGTCGCGGTGCAGACGACGCTCTCGTTAAGTGGCAGAAGTCTAGAGGTGGTGTTTGCCGCGGCTTATTTCCCGGGGGACAGAAACTACGCCCCCCCCGCAAGAGGTACAGCAGCTAGTGGAATTCTGCAGAAAGAGACGGCTCCACCTCATCATAGGGTGCGATGCGAATGCCCACAACGTTGAGTGGGGCAGCACGGATACGAACCGCAGAGGTGAGTGTCTCCTAGAGTACATCTTAAGTGAGGAACTAAGCCTCCACAATGTTGGCCAAACACCGACATTTGTAACGAGGGCTAGAGAGGAGGTACTAGACATCACGCTTAGCAACAGACTGGCTAGCCCTCTGGTCACCCAGTGGGGGGGTCTCATCGTAGCCCTCACTGTCAGACCATAGGATTATCCAGTTTGCAGTGGGAGTAGAAGTCAAAACTAGGCAGGCAAACAGGAACCCCAGGAAAACTGACTGGACAAAGTACAGCGAGACTTTAGAGTCAAACCTGACTGGAATTAAGTCCAGGAACAGGTACACTAACTGCATGAGCCTAGAGATCACCATCAATGAGTTAAATGGCGCCATTGTAGATGCCTTTCACTCAAGCTGCCCGGAGACAAAACCAGGAGGGAAGGCGCAGCCCAACTGGTGGTCTCGGAAGATATCGGTGCTCAGAAAGGAGGTACGCAAACTATTTAATAGAGCAAAGCGCACAGGGCGCTGGGCTGAGTATTCAGCAAGTCTAACTAATTACAGTAAAGAAATCAGGAGGGCTAAACGCGACAGTTTCAGGAAGTTCTGTGAGGGCATCTCAGCGGACTCCTTCAGCTGCCAGGCTGCACAAGGCCTTGGCAAGGGACCATACAGATACCAGACTAGCAATCCAGCTAGCCAATGGCACGTACTCAGGCAACGAAGAGGAAAGGGCACTTGCCCTGCTTTCGGCCCATTTCCCGGATGCCACTCCCACTTCGGGGGAGGCACCGTGCCGACGGACCAGGCCGTCCCCGGTGGACTGGAAGCTGGCTAGGAGTCTATTTACCCACCGATCAGTCTGCTGGGCGATGGACTCCTTCGACCGGTATAAATCCCCGGGGGTGGATGGCATCAGTCCAGTGCTGCTGAAGCAAGGCAAGGAGCTCCTACTTCCACACCTCGTGATCATCAGGAGGGCTAGCCTAGCGCTCGCTCACATCCCCGAGGTGTGGCAAAGGGCTCGGGTTATTTTTATCCCGAAGATAGGAAAGAGAGATTATTCTCTAGCTAAGTCCTTCAGGCCGATAAGCCTTACCTCCTTCCTGCTTACGGCGATGGAGAAGGTGATCGACCATGAAATCAGGAACAGCACCCTTAAACAGGTGCCTTTACACCCCGACCAACATGCCTACAGAGTGGGCAGGTCTACGGACACCGCACTGTACACCCTGTCTACGGAAGTACAAGATGCATTTGAGTGTGGGGAAACAGTACTCTGTGCCTTCATCGACATTGAGGGGGCGTTTGATAACACCTCTCTTATCAGTGTCGACCGGGCACTTGAAAAACGCAATGTGCAGGCAACGATCCGCAGGTGGATAGCCAGGCTACTAAATTCATGAATCGCTGAAACCGATATCGGGGACAGCGTGGTACAGTTAAGAACTACAAAAGGTTGCCCGCAGGGAGGAGTCTTATCCCCTCTCCTGT